GAGAGAAGACACCCAATTCCTCCTAAATTTTGAAGGAAACGCAGTCTTTATTTACCTAAGCGACTCTTCTCTCCGCACTGACCAGGATTTTGCACATAGTCGCTTATGCAGTATGAGCCGGCCGACATGGGAGGAAATTCTGCTCCTCAGCTATCCCACTTCAGTAAGTGCTCTAGCTTGAGCTTGTTACTGGGAAGAGAGGCGAATAACACGAGGTATGGTAAACTCGATGTCGACTGAGCCCACATATTTCCCCGCTTCCCTGATTCCCTTCACGGATCGTGAGAAATGGAAACTTTTTATGAGTGGCCCGATATTCATGAAACGGTGAAAATTCGTTCTAAAAAAGTTAATTGGGTTACTTGAGGGGGGAATTTGTCAGAAAAACACTATGAAGGTTTTCCGTGATGAGGAATCTAACGGTGATAGCAGCATTTCCAAAAAATGCACAGCAACTTTGGGGTAGCAAAAATTTAGGGTGGACCTATAATTATGAAACGCAGTGTAGGCATGGCACACACCTAAGCTCGAGTTACTCTCCTGCGTGCGAAAATAGTTCCACTAAACGGGAAGCGATGATCGGCTAAAATAAACCTCGTATTCCAACGAGGTTTCATCTGTCAATGATTGCATGCTTCGGCTTGTCCGCCGAGGCAGATTCGAACTAAGTGAAGGACGAAAGGCTCTGCTCTCAGCATTCAGTATGAACCTGGCAGCGAGAAAGGCGTCGCAGCAGGTAACCCGGGTGATGAGGTTGAGCATGTTCGAGTGACTTCTCTTATCCCACAAAAAGTGGGTGGTGGTACTGCGTCATGCTATAGAACGTCTTGTACAACACAAAAGATGAGTCATTTTTTGGTCTAGTCGAGTTTTGCTGCGAATTCCTCCACACATGGGAGTGGAGCAGTAAAAAGAATCTTCAGCACTTTATAAAGTCTATCTCACGCCCTGATTCGTTATCATGTTTTACGTACAGTTATGGGAAAAGTCCACAACGGGTGTTCGATGTAAGTTTTACGGCCAGAGGAAAACTAATTATCAATTTGGTCGAATTGTTCCCTGATCGCGAGAGGTGCGAATGCTGTGACGCAGATTTGATCTTTGGCTGATATGTTTACTCACCGCGAGACGTCGAGGTAAATACGATTCAAATATCCTCATTTGGCTGTAACAAATATTCTATCATATTGTACAGTTCCTGAAGATGGAACTGGGGTCGCATCAGTCCGCGCTTTGTAATTCCATACTTATTGTCGCAAGTGCTCTTTGGAATGCTCTT